TTTCAACATATCTTCTTGTTGCTTTGGTTTATTTTCTTGTCCTTGCTGTTTGACTAGTTTTGTCCTCTTGGTGGTTTTTTGTCCTCTTGTTGCTTTTGTTTAACCACATATAGTATTAGCATTAACTTGGTTTTTGAAGACGGCACATGCATAATATCATTTAATACCCATCCCAAGTTAATATTTGTTGATAGCATAAAAACATACCCATCCCAAGTAATTATTTAGTACCTAAATTCCTCAACAGACTATGTTATTCACAATCCCATTACTTGCTAGACATGTGGACACACAAACGCTTGCTACCTGTCTCTTTTTTTTTTTTTTTTTCTCTCTCTCTCTCTCTCTCTCTCTCTCTCTCTCTCTCTCTCTCTCTTCTCCTTCTCACATCCTTAGCCTCGTCCTCCTCTGTTTTTTCCCTTGTTTTATCATCTGGGTAGCTCTAGTTTTTAGTTTTTAGTTTTTAGTTTTCTTATTCATTCATTACTGGTTTTGGGTTCAAATTTGCTTTTTATTTTTCGTGACCCCTCTTTGTTATGCTCATGTTCATAAAGTGGTCACCTTTGGCGTTTGAAATCTGTGCCTTTTGTGTGTTATGGATCGGTTTGTGTTTTTTTGGTATGTCAATGGGCACTTCTATGAATAAGAAGAAATAAGGAGGAGATAAGAGACGGAGGGCGATGGAAAATTTATAGAGAAAGAAGATAGGATAGAGAGAGAGAGAGAGAGAGAGAGAGAGAGAGAGAGAGAGAGAGAGAGAGAGAGAGAGAGAGAGAGAGAAACTGATGGAGAAAAAAGAATTAAAAAAGAGAAAGAGAGCCAATTGAGAGAAGAAAGAGAAAATATTTTTAAAATAAGAAAGAGAGAGAGAGAGAGAGAGCGAGAGCGAGAGAGATATGCAAAATTGAGAGACAAAAGAGAAACAATAATTTAAAAATGGAAACACGATGCAGCAAGCGTTCGTGTGTCCTCGTGTCTTGCAAGCAATGGGACAATCGGTTTTGAGTGCTTGTGAATAGCATTCCTCCACGCGTCTAAGTGCCCGTTTGGCATTGCTTATTTAGGGTGATAAGTGATTTTTTAAAAATTTTGCGAAGCCCAACCCGTTTGGAAAACTGTGAGAAAATCACTTATCGTTAAAAATTGCTGTGAGAGAAAGCTATAAGGGAAAGCAGCTAATGAGGTGCTTTCATTTTCTGATTATGCAGGAATCAGTTTCGAAGAGGCACTGGGTTTAATGATTATGTGGAAATCAATACCAACACTTTTAACATAAAATTTACCAAACGCCAAACTGCTTTCTCTCACAGCAAATCTGACAGCGATTATTTTCACAGCACATCAATGCCAAACTTGCCCTAACAAGTAATAGGATAATCGCTTTTGAGCAATTGTGAATATCATTTCTCTATGCCTCCTCATTTTACCTTAAACCCCATGAAAAGTCTCTTGCATGAATAAGTTTTCCATAATACCCCTAACCCTAAACCCTAACCCTTAACCCCAAACATCTAAACCCTAAACCCTAAACCCTAACCCTTAACCCTAAACCCTAACCCTTAACCCCAAACCTCTAAACCCTAAACCCTACAACATAAACCCTACAACCTTAACCCTACAACCTAAACCCTAACCCTTAACCCTAAACCTCTGAACCCCCAACCGCTAAAACCTAAACCCTAAACTCTACCAATTTAAACCCTACATACATATTTCTTAGCACCAATTCTTTGTATCCCAAGTCCAAAAAGAAAAAGAAATTCCTAAGCTATTGTTTGTTTGATCACATAAAGACGGCTTTGATATTTGTTGTTAGTTGTATCATTTCTCAAATTTGCCATCTATTATGGCTTGTGTATTTTTCTAATTGGTAATTTATTTATTGTGAATTTTAGAAGTTAAATCGTATAAAAATAAAATGAAATAGTCGAAGATTGACATGTCATTTTTTTGTTATTTATTGTCTTTTTCTTTATCAAATTCATAAGAAATTAAATACAAATAAGAAAAATACACCAAAAATCATGATTCTACATATTTGAATCAATGGAAATCATTGAATCAAAGAAATAAGAGTGTATGTGATAGAATGTTTTGATTTGTCTATGAACAAAGTTGAGTTTTTATTATTGATTTGTATTTTTTTAATTTAGAATTAGCATTTTGGAGCTTTAAAGAGAAGATAATATCACAAGATGTTCATAGGAATTTTCTGGGTATTTTTATGATTTTAAATTTATATATTATGAATTTTAGAAATTAAATTTTTGATAAAAAGCCTTTATAATTTTTTCCCCCAAAAATTTTCGCGTGCCGCCCTTTTTTCACCAAATTTAAGTTTGGTGCGTCTTTTTTTTGGGGTCAAATTCTCTCTCCCTTACAGAAGCGTCATATTCTATCTCCAATCTCTAATTCATTCTTTAATCCCAAATGCTCTCTCAGATCTCTTCCTTCTCAGACTTTGCAAATTTCTCTCTCTCTCTCTCACATCAAATCCCATTCATCAGCTAGAAGACAATTGCTCGAGGCCAATTGCTTCGAAGGTGAAGGCTGCGTGACAATTCCCAAGGTGTGATTTTGTAAAGCTCTAA